CCCCAGGGCTCAGGAAGGAACAGGAGTAAAGTTTGGTGCAAAACGAGGACGAGTCAGAGCAAGTAGGCTGAGAGCTGCTACACAATAGCCAGATCAGTGTTCTCCCAACCATGGTGTAAACACAGTGTGAGAAAGGGAGAGTAGAAATTGCAAACTAGATGGAGACAGGACTCAATGTGGAAAGCAAAATCTATTTAGCAAGGAGGAAATAATTCACCAACTAACATTCTCCATAGCAGAGGGGGGAACAGTTCTGGAAAGTCAAACTGCCTTGAGCAAACCTTAGGAGAGCAGGCAAATTAGAGCAGGTGACATGAGGAGATGTTAGAGAAGAGGAAGGCAACGCAGCGGCACCGGGGCTGTGCACACAGCTGCCTGGTGCCAGGCAGCCCAGAGGTACGTGCTGGGCAGGAGCCCACAGCTCAGTTCAGGGCAGCAGCTACTGGGAGAGCCTGACACCCTGAGAGGAGGTCAGAAGAAAGGGGACAGCTTGTTGCGCAACTACAGGGGATTGACTGGCAACGGCACTGTGTTTTGCTTGGCTCTGAAGGGATATGGAAACAGCTTGCAAACGTTTGTAAGGCATAGACCCAAGCAGGAGGGAGGGCAAATTACTTACTAGAGAAGATAAAACAGAGAGGAAAACCTGAAGCTGAGAAAGAAACTAGTAACGTTTTACCAATGAGCTCTAGCAGGCTGTAAAATAGCTCTCACCAGGAGAGCAGGGAAAAACCCAGGTACAGACAGTTTTAAAGTTGGATGGGAAGAAAGTAATTAATACATGTGCAATGAAGACCATACAGAAGAAGTTGTTGAAGTGATACAAGTGTTTCCACCCCCACAATCTGTAGTCCAAATTTTCTACTGCCCTGCATCTCTGGCTATGATTAACAGCAATGCAAAGAAGGAAAATGTTTATTAAAGCAGGAGCGTAACCTTATAGTACAGCTCTGCCTAAGCACGTAGATTTCTAGGCACTTCTAGCCAACAAAGAATTAGGGTTTATAATTGTGTGAGGGAAAATGACTCACTAGCAGCAATCTTCAACTCCTAGTAGCTCTGCAACTCCTCCAGAAATCTCCTTCTGCATCATCCCAAATCTCCTTTAGTCTTGGTGAGGTAGAGATATGACTCCGTGTTTGGATACATGCATTTGTGTCTCCTAAATTCATATCCAGCTGCTTCTAAAATCTCCTGATAAACCCCTTTCCAGTTGCATTTGGGAGACAACTTAAGTGACTCCTACAGATCTACAAGGAAACCAAGGCCCAAATACAGCCCCACTGGAGGCTGAAACAGCAACCTGCCAAAAGCCCCGAGAAGCCCACACCTTACTTGGCATATACACTTACCGGCTTAGTATTTTCCACGAGGAGGGAAGACAGCCATGGCTTGACAGCTACGGTGCTGCAGCTAGTGTTAATGGTTACCCCATCAGCCACTGAGCTGGGCTCTTCAGACAGCAGAGCGCTGTTCCCTGGCCTGAGGATTTTTCACATTACCATGCTTTATTACTGTCCTCTGCAGACTATGATGATGATGAATGAATGAGATCAGATTAATCAATATGGTTTATTGGTGGAGTTTGCCCGCTCACTGTGAATGCATCATTACTGTGTGCCTTCATCAGCACAGGGATGTGCACGATTCAAAGTCTTTGTCTGTACAATATGAAACCACAACCAACCTGCAGCTCTTCAGCTTTCTCCCAAGGACTCCCTAGGCTTTTCTTGGGTCCCTCTGTTGCTCTGTATCCTTGTCCTGGGCCATCCTGGAAGTCCTTTGGTGACTGCCATATCCTCCCTTAGTAAAGCAAAACAGATTAAGCTGTGCCTACAGAGGTTGAACAAGAAACTGCTGAAAAGCAGTGAAGTCGTAACACAGTGGCTAATGGTGCATTTGCTGCTGCTGTCCTCTGCCTCACACAAGTCAGGGTTGCTCCACTATGTGGCACAGATGCTCTGCAGCTCCACAGCCAGGAACCATCCCCTTTTTGCTGAATGGTATTTCTAGAGCAGGGCATTCCTCAACCCCACTGGGGCTGTTGAGCCCAGGATCCCTGTAGAAACAGGGGATCTATCAAAGTAACTGTAGCCAGCGTGTTCAAAGTGGGTACCTGCAAAGGTGTTCTGTATGGCCTATAGCATCGCTCTAGCTACCCCCTTGTCAGTCCTGACACATCCCTGCAGCAAGCAATAGAGTGCATTAGCACAAAAGGGAATAGGGTTTCACGGCTGGAAACTGCTTTGCCCTGAAATTTGAGAGCTGTGCCTTTCCGTTCCATCTCTGGCACGAATTCCCTTTGGTGGCCCAAGGCAGGCACCTTCATCTCCCTGTGGCTCAGTTTGCCATCTGTAAAACTGGGTTAGCATCGCCTCCTCCTTCTTACACCCCTCCTCTCCTTGCTTACATTAACTGTAAATACGGCCGGGCTCGCTTGCGTGCAGGCACAGGACAAAATAGGGGGCAAAACCCTAGAAGTGCTGCTCGTATGGGGAAGGTCTGCAGGGCAGGATGCCTGCATAGGAGCAAGTGCACGGAGGGATGCGTGCACGGAGGGGCAGGTGCACGGAAGGACGCCGGGATGCAGGGATGCGCACACGGGGATGAGTGAGGGAGGGATGCGCACACGGGGAGGGAGGATGCC